TTCCCCCGTCACGTTGTCACCCTCCTTTTATATACCCGACTACCCTATATCTAGTAAATACTAGAGCATTCGCCAAAGTACAGGATAGTTCTAGGAACGTGGCGTCACAGTAGTCATGTGACTCGCTGACGCAACAGTAACTTGGCTCTAAATTTTATTTTTGTTATAAGTCCAACCGTATCATTCAAAGTATGATTTAATAAAGGTAGTGTTTGCAAAAACGCTGAAAGTAAAAAAATAACATAATATTAAATGCATAGCGGTATGATAAATATATAATTGTGACATTCGGGCATATCATTCATTTTCCGCCATCTTTTGTTAACATAGGAATTTAAAACAATTTTATTTAGTCTGATTCTATAAGGTTTTGGCATAAACACATGTTCCGCTGAGTTGTTTCATTCTAGTTACCTTTGTTTCTTTGTTGTTCTCTTGTAGATAATATCTACTTTGTCCACAGAGATATTGTTGCAACTTCGTACCTTGTGCAGAATGCGTCATCGACAGTAATATCCTTCATGGCCGAGTATATAAATAGAGGTTAAAGCTTTTATATGTTGTAAGAGAATGACTAGTCACGTGTGGAAGATCGCTTATGGGTAATTTCATGATTTCCTGTTTGGTAGGGAGTGTCGGTTATAATCAGAACATAAAAAGTTCTACTTGGTGAGAGACTTTGGTAGGTCACTGGAAAGTCATTTGATATGATACAACTGTTCATTGATTCACATATTTAGTAGAAAGGCGAATGCCCTGTATCTGTACAAATATAAATACTGTGTTTTTTGACTTTGCATTTTAAATAAATATTGTTTTACACTTTACAACACATATTCATTCCATATATTTTCTTAGCTAAAACTTAATCGGTTAGCTCAATTCGGATTTACTTTGCAACCATTCTGAATTAATCTATGTTTATAAAGAGATCTATCTAATACTCGTGCATAAATCAGCTTACCATGAGGATACCACGGAATATCCTTTAATCAATGTAAGTATCCGTGAGATTATAAATATAACCTCTGGTTTACATGCCATCTTACAACTTTTATATACAAATAATATCTTTTTTATTCATTGCACATGACAAGACAAAATCACGCTTTACTTTAGTCGACTAGAAAAAGTGTTCATTGCGGTTCGTTGTGTTGTGCATTTTAAATCAATTATTTCTTTATTATATATGTATCAATCAGTGTTATTCTTGGGCAGATATGAGCAACGCAACTAAGACTTCGACCTGAAGAAAGCCTCTGTGTAGACGCCGAAACACCAATCCACTCTAGAGACATAAGAAATAGTTTATTAAAGCCACATTTTAGTCTACACTATTGATTATCGTTACCTTTACTGTTGTCTGTTGACAGAAAATGGAAACAAATCAGTTATCACATGTGACGTTTACTCTGTTACACTTTTAGGTGTACTGATTATTTAATGTTTGCTTTCAGGTCCTTAATTTGTGATGAGAAAATCCATATTTAAAGTGTTTACCTGTCTACAACTTTTCACAAAGTACCATTACACGTGAAACAGTTTCAATAGAACCTCAGCTGTTGTGACTCAGAAAAAAATTCATTCAGAAACCATGGCGTCATTGTTTGTTTACTTATGATAATTTTTACCAGACTTTTGTGTTATGCTTTCTAAATATATATTGAACTAAGTTTAAAAGCATTTTATATTATGGGATATTTTATTTTGACGCTTTCTTATTCAAAGTTTACTTCATCAACTGCATATATAGAGGCAGGGTTTGGTTTGTTTTGAATTTCGCGCAAAGCTACTCGAGGGCTATCTGAGCTAACCGTCGCTAACTTAGCAATGAAAGA